CGTCAGCCTCTCTGCTCCTATGATGCTGCTTGGCCTGCTGTGTTCATCCAGCTCTGCACCTTGTTGTCTCAGTAGATAGAGAGACCTGACTAGGGAGTCTGCTACTGTGGGTCATGGTCTCAGGATTAAAGATCAGCCACATGAGGAGGAGGTGATAAGTTTCTTTGCTCAGACGGCTGAGAATCTTTATAATTTTCGATCATACTGCATTCTAGTGCTCTCCTGTTGAGGATATACAGAGCTCAATAGATTATTGGTGTTTAATGGAATTGAGAGAGAGTGGGATTGGGCAGCTCGATGGATTGAGTACAGGCCATCCATGATCCTAGTGAATGATGGAGCAGGATCCTTGAGGTGTATGGCCAACTCTTCCCATCTCTTATATTCTCTCATCTGTACCGCATACCACTTCTTGATATTATTGGGTTTGCATATTATAGAAACCGCAGCATGAGAGAGCAGCTGTGTCAACAGAAACCTGTTAGTTTATTTTCAGGTATTGGAGGGATCAGGATCCACTAATTGAATTAAACAAACAATGCTGCAAATGCACAGCAGGACAGACAGAGCCTATGGGGAGAGAAGCGTTCATCAGAAAAGTCATTAACTTGACAAGTTCTGATGAAACAAAAACAGAAGTTGCTGGAAAAGCTCAGCAGGTCTGGCAGCATCTGTGAAGCAAAAATTGGAGTTAACGTTTCAGGTCCGGTGACCCTTCCTCAGAACCGAAACGTTAACTCTGATGTTTTCTTCATAGATTCTGCCAGACCTGCTGAGATTTTCCAGCAACTTCTGTTTTTGTTCCTGATTTACAGCATCTGCAGTCATATCGGTTTGTATTAAGTTCTGATGAAAGGTCATCAACTTGAAAAACTTTCCGTCCTTACTTCACATTTCCAGCATCTGCCACACATTTTGATTTTCTGTTTTGGACTGACTGTCAGTTAATGCTACATCCTGCTCTGTCACTCACTGTGATTCATAATCATATCTTGAGTTCTAGAATTGGCTGCTTTTAGAACTCTTTGTAATTGATACACCAGTAAACTAATATTTGAGCTAGTGTTTTCCTTCGAGAGATTTGAAGTGTGTTTCAGTAGCAAATGTAAGATGGTAATATTCCTGTAACTGTACAGTTTATGTTCCATGTCTCCATCTAAAAGCCACAAAATTAAATTATTTCAATAAATTGGTTCAACTTGCTGTAAACCAATTGCTTAGATGTTGTAAGATACCATGGCAAAAAGTCTCAGATCTAAAAGGTCCAAGAAAGTGTATTCGCTGCTTCAGGTGAACATTAGTCAACAGCCTATCGGAGTGTTTGACTTATCTGTTAGAGGTGATGCAGCTTGACAGGAAGAATGAGGAGTGTCAGCTCGTTGGCACAGTTTAAAGTGGGTGTATTGGACAGAGAGCTGCAGAGGAATTGGGGAAAGCTGTTAAGAGCCAGTGATTCCATGTTAATAAAGAGGCATTGAGTACAACAATAAGAAAGTTTGCTAAGACTTTATAAAACACTAGTCATACTCAACTGGAGTATTTTGTTCACTTCTGGTTATAACTTTCTGAGGTATGTCAGGAGCTTTGAGAAGCTGCAGATGCAATTTACAGGAATTGTCCTAGCAATGAGGGACTTCAATTCATTGAGGAGGCTGGAGAAGCTGGGATTCTTTTCCTGAGAGCAGAGAAGGTTAATTTCACGGAAATGTTCAAAATTATGAAGTTTCTTTTCATCACAAAAAAAAATACGTAGAAATTGTTCCATTGGTAGAAGAGTCACAGATTTAAGAAATTGATCACCAGGTTTGAAATGAGAAGTTTATTTCCATGGAAGTAATTAGGGAGGCACAGTGGTTAGCACTGCTGCCTCACAGCGCCAAGGACCCAGGTTCGATTCCACCCGTGGGTGACTGTCTGGGTGGAGTTTGCACATTCTTCCTGTGTCTGCGTGGGTTTCCTCCCACAGTCCAAAGATGTGCAGGCCAGGTGGATTGGCCATGCTAAATTGCCCGTAGAGTTCAGAGATGTCTAGGTTAGGTGGGTTAGCCATGGGAAATGCAGGGTTACAGGGATAGTGTTGGGGGCTGAGTTTGGGTGGGATACTGTTTGGAGGATCAGTGCACACTCAATGAGTCAATGGCCTCTTTCTGTACTTTAGCGATTCTATGAAATTATAATCTGGAATGTGCAGCTGTTTAAGGGTGGGGAATCTGATTCAGCAAAATCCTTTCAAAAAGAATTGAATTAATGCATTAATGTGAGTGGCTTGGATAGAAATTTGCAAGTGATGGTATTCCCATGTATCTGCTGCCTTGCCCTCTAGATCGTGGTGGTCATATGCTTGAAAGGTGCCAGTGAAGATTCTTTGAATTTCTGCAGTACATCTTGTACACACTGCTGCTACTGAGTGTAGGCGGTGGAGGGGGTGGATGTGGTGCTTACCTCGCAGGGTTGTTTGTGCTGGACGGTGTCAAGCTTCTTGTGTGTTGTTGGAGCTGCACCCATCCAGTCAAGTGGGGAGTATTCCATCATACTCCTCACTTCTGTTATAGATGGTGGACAGGCTTTGGGAAGTCAGGAGGTAAGTTACTCATCATGTTCCTAACTTCTGACCTGCACTTATAATCACAGCATTTACATGGTTGGTCCAGTTGAGTTTCTTATCAATGGTAACCCCAGGCTGTTGATAGTGAGGTATTCAATGATTTTAAATCATTGAATGTGAGGAATGATTAGATTCTCTATTTGGAAATGGTCAATATTTGATGTTTGAGTTGCAAATATTCATTGCCACTTTTCAACCCAAACTTGGCTGCAATCCGGATCCTGTCGCATTTGAACATGGACTGATTCAGTTGTGAATGGTACTGAACATTGTGCAATCATCAGCGAACATTCCCATTTCTGACCTTCTGATGGAGGGAAGGTCGTTGATGAAGCAGCTGAAGATGGCTGGGCCTACGTAGAAGCAGCTGAAGGTTAATTTTTATTTTAGAAAGCAGTAATGTAAAGGTGGTAGTCCCTGGAATGCTACCTGATCCACGGGAAAATGGGCATAGGATAACTAAGATCAGAGAGCTGAATGTGTTTCAAAGATTGATGTGGAAAAAAAAGTTTTCAATTCATGGGGCACTGGTGCCAGACTGAGGGGAGGGGGATCTGATCATCATGACTATTTTCACCAGACGTTCAGCAAATGTCCCGCAGAGTCAGAACTGATTCTTGACATTTCCAAAACTCTACCAAAGCGTTTGCTCTGAACTGGGTAAGAATGAATATTCACATCAGCTAGCTGCTGGTCATTTTGCTGATGAACATTAGTGAGCTGTTTTCCATGCTGAAGGGAGGTGGATTTATAATTACTGGAACTGACTCATAAAAATAGGCCAGTGCCTCTACTGAGTTAATCATACAACGACACAACGACAGTAAGAGGCCATTTGGCCCATTGTCCCTATACCCTTTTCCCGGCTCTTTGAAAGTGCTATACTATTGCTCTGTATGTTGTCCTGATCTTCTTAATCTGGTGTTGTCATGTAACTGGGAAGGTGCACGCTGATAATTGTACCTCTCTGTTCTCACAGCCATCACAGGTTGTATGAAATCCCCATGAGGTGCCAAACTGACCAATTTCCCTGACTGACTATTGCCAGGATAAAAGCATTTCCCACCAGGTTTCATCAGCAAAAGTAAAATAACTCTCTATTGTAAAGCATTAAACTTTAACAAATATTAGAGAAAAGAGAGAATTTCTTATATCAACTACTTTGCTACATAAACTCCAAATGCACACATGCCCTCAATTATGACTAGACAGCGTTGTTGAACAGAGAGTCCTGAGTGTATGTACATAGTTCCTTGAAAGTGGCGACACAGACAGGGTGGTGAAGAATAATCACGAGGGGCATGGATAGGGTGAATAGTCAAGGCCTTTTCCCCAGGGTAGGGGAGTCCAAAACTAGAGGGCATAAGTTTAACGTGAGAGGGAAAAGACTTTAAAGGGACCTGAGGGGCAGTTTTTTCACACAGAGGGTGATGTGTATATGGAATGAGCTGCCAGAGCAAGTTGTAGAGCAGGTACAATTGCAGCATTTAAAAGACATTTGGACAGGTACATCGAAAGGAAAGGTTTAGAGGGATATGGGTGAAACACGGGCAAATGGGATTAGTTTAATTTAGAAAACCTGGATGGCATGGAAAGTTTGAGCTGAGCGGCATGTTTCTGTAATACCTCTATGACTGCTGCCTTGGCATTTACAGCTTTTAACAAGCTCCAGCTCCACCAATCAGTTGTTGTCAGGTTCTTAGTGCTGCTCAGTTTCATTCTGCCTCTTACTGATTCTTAAAGGAAAATTGCATGGCACAGCTCAACAATCTGTAATATTCCATTTCAATTTGTAAAACCACCTGCTCTTTCAGCCACATTACAGTCCTATTTTCGTCTTAAAGTCTTGAAAAACACAAGGTTTTTCATTTACGCCAGTGATGAAGTCATAGAATTTGTGTTTTTGTCTTGAAAATAAATCTGTTTGTCTTCCTACCCAATCTAGGGGGGTTCAGTTTCTTGTTGCCTATGGAGTTTGTGATGTTCCTCATGGATAGGAGTAGTTCTCTCGTACTAGCAAACAATTCCTGTTATTTGCGAGAAGAGAAAAGGCAAGGGGAAAAAATAGAAAGGAGAGTCAAGCACTGAGAAGTTGTACTGTCCTCTGGTGTCCAAACATAGTTAGGATCAGAGATTTGTCATGTCTGGAATGTAACGGGGCAATGATAGGTTGGTTATCTTTCATCTTTCTTTTATCACTTGATTTTTTTTTGCAGGTTTGTTAATCATTTGTGTTCTTTCTCATTGGGAGATTTAATGGGGGTTTCATCAAGCCCAGGTCAGAGGGTTGTGCAGTGTCAATGGGGAATTTGGCACTTTGTCAATGGAGAGTTTGTAGCAAATGTGTTCTGTAGCAGAGTTTAACAGCATTTCTAAATCAGTTCTTTCATTGCAGTGTCTCACTGTGTCAAGATGACGGTTCTTCAAGTTTTTTCGAAGCTGTGCAGACCTGGGCTGCAGGCCTTCAGCACTGGAGTCAGGAAGTTCTCTCTCTCTCCAAATGGTGCATCCCAAAGTCACTTTGATGTATTAGTGGTGGGAGGTGGAACAGGAGGAATTACTATGAGTGCTCGGCTGAAGAGAAAAGTGGGAGCTGGAAATGTAGCCATCATTGAACCAAGTGAGGTAAGAGCCTTCATTTCCCTTATTGGTCAGTGAAATGTTTCAAGAAATGTCTTGAAGGATGAATGAATTTGGGAGTTGTGGAAGTATAGAGAGAGAATGTGAGAGCCATGCACTGGTGGTGGTGATTAAAAGTTGGGGATGCTCAAGAAACTAAAGTTGAATGAGCACAAAACTGAATCCAGGGCTGCAGGAAATTATCAACAAACGCCTGACGGACCCTTCAGGTTTCTTTTTTTAATCAAAATGTTTAGAGATGTTATCTCACACCACTGGAGCAGGTGGGACTTGAACTCTAGCCTTCTGGTCCAGAGGTAGGGACACTGACAATGCATCACAAGAGCCCCCTAACAAGCTTCATCCTCTTCTGAATCCACATTCCCCAACCCCCATAGTCTTCAGCTTCCACAGCTCCCCCCCACCTCACTAAACAACCCCAGGCCCAGTGATGAGATATTCCTAATGAAAACCGACAGAACTGAGGATGCTGTAAATCAGGAACAAAAACAAAGTTGCTGGAAAAGCTCAGCAGGTCTGGCAGCATCTGTGAAGGAAAAAAGAGTTAACATTTCGGGTCTGGTGACCCTTCCTCAGAACCGGACCCGAAACGTTAACTCTGTTTTTTCCTTCACGGGTGATGAGATATTCCTGGTTGGTAGGCAGTGCTGTTCACTGCTCACCACATCAGTGTTAGTGAAGGAGCAGAGAATCCTGTGGGACATCAGCAGCTCTGCCTATCGTCCTGATCCATTTCACCAGTTTCTACCTCAGCTGCTGCTTTTTGCAAAACATCCGGATCCAATCGGCCTCACACGAAACAAATATCGCTTAATGTTGGTACCGTCGACTATAACCGTCATCTTACAATGAACAAGAACAAAGAAAATTACAGCACAGGAACAAGCCCTTCGGCCCTCCAAGCCTGCGCCGATCCAGATCCTCTATCTAAACCTGTCACCTATTTTCCAAGGATCTGTATTCCTCTGCTCCCTGCCCATTCGTGTATCTGTCTAGATACATCTTAAACGCTATCGTGCCCGCCTCTACCACCTCCGCTGGCAACGCGTTCCAGGCACCCACCACCCTCTGCGTAAAGAACTTTCCACGCATATCTCCCTTAAACTTTTCCCTTCTCACCTTGAAATTGTGACCCCTAGTAATTGAATCCCCCACTCTGGGAAAAAGCTTCTTTGTATCCACCCTGTCTATACCTCTCATGATTTTGTACACCTCAATCAGGTCCCCCCTCAAACTCCATCTTTCTAATGTAAATAATTCTAATCTACTCGACCTCTCTTCATAGCTAGCGCCCTCCATACCAGGCAACATCCTGATGAACCTCCTCTGCACCCTCTCCAAAGCATCCACATCCTTTTGGTGATGTGGTGACCAGAACTGTACACAGTATTCCAAATGTGGTCGAACCAAAGTCCTATACGACTGTAACATGAATGTGTCTCATGCATTGTTTGGTCAGTACCCTCCAGCTGCATCCCCTCTGTCACCCCTCCAAACTCAGTCCCTCTAATTTAGACACTCTTGCATTACCTCTGACACTTTCATCTTTGCCCCCCCATCAATAGCTATCTGCAGCTACAAAGTCCCACTCTTTGCTAGTCTCTCCAATAACTCCTCACCATCAGCCCCTCCTTTAAGCACCTTTTTGTTTTGCATCTGTCCAATCTTTCTTCACCCTTTTTTAGGTTTCCTTTCCAGCACTGTCCCGGTGAATATCTTGGCTGCTCTCATTGGCTTTCATGTGCTTTCAGTAACAGTGATATGGTCATTGTGCTAATTCAGCAAGGCTGCTCCTATAATACACGCCCAGTTCATAAACTTGCTTTTATGACTTTGGGAGCAGTTGTCATACAATAGAGCTCTGGGCTAGTTATAAAACTATGTACCATGAGCTTTGTGGAAGGTTATAGGATGTGGTTTGACTGCTGTCTTTAGAACTTATTGGTGAACCAAGTGGCTTACCCTTTACTGTAAATATTAGAAAGGAGTTTTGCAAACATTGGCATAATTACTTCAGTATTTGGCAGCTGTGAGCAGAGTGACATTGGTTCCAACAATGTCTTTGAAAGAAGTGTCTAGAGAGGGTCATTAGACCTTAACCATGTTGGTGCAGAGGCCAGGACCTCAGGCTGCTTCACACTGTTTAAGCACAACATGAGCATCTTCATTTCAATATTTATAACATATTGAAAATGACAGAAATTGTTGCACTTTCCAAACCTCCTCCCACTGAGTTGGTTTACTTCTGTTGGAATTGGTCATTGGGGAATACTGTGGCAATGGCATCAAAGGGAGAAAGTGTTTCATTGTCTTTTGTTTTACTCTTTCAATGTCTTTGTTGGGTGTATCTTTCAGAAGCATTACTATCAGCCCATGTGGACCCTGGTGGGTGCTGGAGCTAAACCACTGAACAAATCAGGGAGATCAACAGCCAGTGTTATCCCATCAGGAGTCACATGGATCAAGTCCAGTGTTCAGGAATTTGATCCAGACAAGAATCTTGTTCGTAATGACGACGGCACACAGGTGAGAGACAATGGGTCAGCTGATTCTCAGGTGGGATCTGGCAATGTTCAAATCTTCTCACTGTCAGAATTGGGAAGGCTCATTTTACTAATTCATTATTTTTCTTTTAGGTCTCCTACAAATACTTGATTATTGCGTTGGGATTGCAGCTGCAATATGAAAAGGTATTTTTTTTATTGTTTTCTCAGATTTGGGGATTCCCATAAGCATGTATTTTCAGTTAATACTTGAGTTTCTAACTTGGGCTTTCATTACAAACATTGATTAAATTTCCATAGGTAATAAAGCAGTATCCCACTTCCTATCATATTATGTTCCTCAACTGATGAATGCTAAGTATGAGCATTCATTAAAAAGACATCCCTTTTACCAGTTCCTGGACGTTGTGGAGTAGGGGAGGGGTGTGAGCGTAGGCATGTAGAGAGAAGAGCAAGGGGCAATATTTGATTATTTAAATTGTCTTTTTGGAAGCTGAGACTTGAATCTCGTAAATGTTTAATTTCTCGGGGTGGTCATTACTAATGATCATTTGTGAACTATTCATCCCTCAATATTTCTGATTGCACGTTATAACCTGTCACTTTGATCGAGGACAGTAAGTTAGTGAAATCTATGCCAAGTCTATTAGCACACGCTAACAGTTTGCTATTAGCAACAACCAGTTTCTATGTGGCTGCCACAGGTTTCTGCCCATATCACTTTGTACTAATGGCAGAATCAGTCTTGTCCTTTCATCCATGGTCGTATAGCAAAACCTAGGCCATGAAATCTGCGTCCCTCTCGTGTACACTCCTGTGTTCTCCCTCTACCCCTCTCCTCCGGCTATCAGCAGTTTCCTGTTTCTCCCACATTGTTCTAACACTGAATACATCTGAGGTGTTACAAACCATTCTATTGGCCATTCCTTCCGTGGAAGTAGTCCATGGTCAGTGTTTGATTGGTGAGATTTTTGGTTGATTGGCCATTGGTTGAATAGCATTACAACTTTGTAAAGTTGCTCCAATCTGTTGTTACATATGAGACTGTGAATTGTTACATTCAAGCACTTCTACTTTTCAGCTGCTGAGGTTCTGTATGTGGGAAAGGTCGAGTCAGCAGCTGTCAGATTAATGTGGGAGTGGGAGTGAATGGCAGACAATCACAATGTAAACACAGATTTTATCCAAGGAAAATACATACCCTAGGAATTTTTGACAGATTTACGTTTGACAAGTTTGAAGGGGTTTCCTGTTCAGTGTTTAACAATGACCCATAAGTCTATTAATTATAATCCACATGCAATAAATTTGTATGATCCACCATTACCCGACGAGGTCAGATATGAGGTGTGTCTCAATCCTAGCCTCAGCCTCCAGAAGCTGTGCCAAGAGCTGTACCAGAGCAAGTCAGAGGTAGGAATGCTGCAGCAAGTAACTCACCTCTTCTCTTTCCTGCCAACCTCCTCACTGTCCACCATCTACCTGACACAAGTCAGGAGTGTGATGGAATACTCCCCACTTGTCTGGATGGGGGTAGCTCCAACAACACTCGAGGAGCTCAACACCATCCAGGACAAAGCAGCCTGCTTGTTTGGCACCATATCCTCAAGAATCCACTAAAATGAAACAAAGAACAGCAGATGTAGGAAATCTAAAGCAAGAACAAATCATCGGAGAAACTCAGCAGGTCCAGCAGCATCTATGGAGAGAGAGACTGAGTTAACGTCAGAATTATTCTGTGAAGGGTAACTGGGCTCAATGTTAACTCACTCTTCTCTCCATAGATGCTGCTGGATCTGCTGAGTTTCTCCAGCATCCTCTGTTTTCACTCTGTGCTCTGGAGGGTCAGGACCGAGGAGCACCATCCTGCTGGGGACAATGGAGCCGGTTAATGGTTGAACTGTTTGTGTCCTTGCGTGTATAACATTAAAAGCTGGGTAGTTCTCCTCAAGCCCCTGGGCCAACATTTATCTGGGTGTTTCATTGCTGGTTGTGGGACTTGGCTGTGATAAATTGGCAGCAACATTTCTTACCTGTTTTATAAATAGAAATTTCTCTTCAGAAAGGAAGTTTTCCTCTATTAGCACACAAATAAAATCCATCCATACTCCTCCACTGATCTTCAATTAGATTGTTGCAAGTTAGACACCGGTAACAGCATTTTCAAGGGCTGTCATTCCTGCAGCTTCCCATGTTCCCAGCAATGGTGGTGTTCACTTTCCTGCTCTGAAATGTAAATCCTTTGTGTGTAAACAATGACTTTCCACTGATTAATGGCAGAAGCTGTACATTGTGGGTGTATGAGTGATTCAAGGAATGCAAAGTCCCACTGTGATCGTTTCAGTCAATGTTCCTTCTGAACCTTGTTTCCAGTCAGACAGCAATGTGGGTGCCTCTAATGAACATTTATTTTTCATTTTATTTTTCAGATTAAGGGACTTCCTGAGGGGTTCAATGATGGTAAAATTGGCTCGAACTACTCTGTAAATTTTGTTGAGAAAACCTGGAAAGCCTTACAAGATTTTCGTGAGGGAAATGCCATTTTTACCTTTCCCAATACACCCGTTAAATGTGCTGGGGCTCCACAGAAGATCATGTATCTGTCTGAGCACTACTTCAGGAAGGTAACCAACTCATTTGATCTGTCTAAATTTGACTTAGCGTACATGTTCCAAATCTTTTCAAATGTTTAGTGACACCATTTTGGGCAAGAACATGAAGACAGAACTTGACCAGGAGAGTCACTGTGGAAGCTCAATGCTGGTGAATTTTGCACTGTCTTGATGTTACAAGTAAAGAATTTGAGGTTTGTGATTAACAAGTAGTCTGAGATGAAAGGTTCACAGTGTCTCCTTCACTAACCCCTGTTCTTATCAATCCGAGTCAGATGGTGCAGGCAAAAGAAGGTGCTCAATGTAAATGCTACCTTAACATTAAGCACGTCTTCCTGTTGGAGACTGGAAATTGGTATAGTATGTGCAAAGGCTTCTGTCCTTGAGGTTTAATTCTTTTCAATAGGCACACAATGCATTTCATCTGTGCACTGATATTAAATATTGCAATTACTTTGTGTCACTGCTGAATTCTTAATCTTTCTGGTTCTAAGACTGGGAAACGGCCAAAAGCAAATGTAATCTACAACACTTCACTGCCAGTGATCTTTGGAGTGAAGAAATATGCAGATGTTCTTCTGGAGATTGTTAAGACCAGGAACATTGAAGTGAATTACAGATTGAATCTTATCGAAGTTCACACAGACAAGCAAGAAGCTGTATTTGAAAAATTGGACCATCCAGGGGAAACCAAGACATTTCAGGTTTGTTTTGATGATTTAATCTCTGGCATGCTTCTCTCACCCCATTCTTTCCTTCACCTGTTCTCCTTGCCCAGGGGCTCTGCCTGATGGCAAGCTGTTGGCATGAAACAGTGAGGGACCCATGTTGACTATTTCACAGGTGGAATGTGTGTGCGTGCTCATGTGCAAGCTTGTACACTTTATCCAAATGTTGCAAACACTTTATTTATGTTGGAATGGTTTCTGACCTTTTGAGGCTTCCTCACTCATTGAGTCATAGAGCTGTACAGCACGGAAACAGACCCTTTGGTCCAACTTGTCCATGCAGACCAGATATTCTAAATAAATCTAGTCCCATATGCCAGCATTTAGCACTTCCTATTCATATACCCATCCAGATGCCATTTAAATGCTGTACTTGTACCAGCCTCCTCCACTTCCTCTGGCAGCTCGTTCCATACAGGCACCACCCTCTGCGTGAAACAGTTGCCCTTAAGATCCCTTTTAAATCTTTCCCCCTTCTCTTAAACCTTTGCTGTCTTGTTTTGGACTCCCCCGCCCCAGGGTAAAGACTTTGTCTATTTATCCTATCTATGCCCCTCATGATTTTATAAACCTCTTTAAGATCACCCCTCAGCCTCTGACGCTCCAGGGAAAATAGCCCCAGCCTGTTCAACCTCTCCCTGTAGCTCAAACCCTTCAACCCTGGCAACATCTTTGTAAATCGTTTCTGAACCCTTTGGTTGAGTGATCTCAGAATGCAGTGGTGGGGGTGGAGGTGGAGGGGGTGTGTGTAGCCACATTGTCTGGAGAGACTGGGGGGCAGATTTGCAAAGCAGTTTACTAAAAGACCATGTGCTTTGAATGATGCTCCTGTTGTACAGACATTTCCTCTGTCTTTCCAGAGACTGTAGCCTTTCTTTCTTACTATGTTCACAGTACGAGATGCTACATGTCACTCCTCCAATGGCACCTCCTGAAGTGATTCAGAAAAGTCCATTAGCTGATGCAGGAGGCTGGCTTGATGTAAACAAAGAGAATCTACAACACTGCAGATACTCCAATGTGTTTGGTATTGGAGACTGCACCAATTTGCCAACATCGAAAACTGCAGCAGCAGTCGGTAGGTTTGAAGCTGTACTAGCATTGGTACAGATTCTCAATGGAGTGGATAGCCACTTTGAAAAGTAAGTGTCTTGGGTCAGATTGTCAATGAGATGTCTCAAAGTGGTAGGATTGTACAGAGCTAAGGAAGGAGGAAAGAGCAGTGAGTCACTGACCATGAGGTGCACAGTCACAACAAAGGGATCTAAAGGAAAGAAATGGAAATGTGTGTAAAGGTTGTGCACTTGCTGGTTAATGAGTAAGTGAGTTAGGTATTCTCCTAGCAGCACAGAGCAGGAATAAATTCATGATGTGTAATTCTTCTCAATCTGTTACTGAAATAAACCCAAACTGTACTGAGAAACTACTGTCTTCACAGGGTAAAGATTTCCATTCACTGTGCAGACGCAACATTCCCTCTTTAACAAATGTTAGAAATACTAGCAGCCTGGAACCTCTGCAATGTCTGACTTCAGAGAAATGGCTTTGAGTGTTTTTTTTTAAGCAGACAGTGAGTAGTTAAAAGCCAAGATTAGTTTTTGCACTGTGTGTGTGTCAAGTTGCAGATGATGCAATGACCTTTGATGCTATACCATAATTTCCCAGGATCTGCTGGAGGTAGTGGACTTAATGTCTTTTGCGATAAAATTCAAGTATAATCTGCCTTTTGAGCAACACCAGTCTAGATGTCTGATGTGGGATTTTTAAAGTACAACTGTGATCAGGGCCAGTGGCTGTAGATCCAGTGGTCCAGGAAAAGAATCTGAAGGAATAGCACTATTGGCTGCTCAATCAGATTTATAATCGTGTGATCTCAAACAGATTAGATTATGATAAAAGTCCTGAGACACTCTGAACTTCGCTGCTTACCCTTCTCGTGTTTCTGGTTCGGGAGCGATTATTAAAGTGGATGCTGATGGATTGTAACCAGGGTAGAAGGAGTTAAGTCATTTGATACAATGTTTTCTGTGCATATATTAGTGACTGTTTGACTGTAAATCTTTTAGTTTACCAAATGCTGGGAAATGTAACAGAACATATTGTTTTGTTAAAGTCTTAACACACAGCTCATGCTTCTGCTTAGATGTTAAAGGACAGGCTGTGCAGTAAAGCAATGAGCTGAATGGGCAGTTGGCATTTGTATACAAGCTGATCTCCCATCATGCTCCTGCTTCACCTTCACATTTTTGTCCAGTTCTTCCTCCAGTATTCTACTTTGAACAAAGCAGGGTGGGTCTGATAAGGTTTTTCGTTCAACTCCCCTCCCTCTGCTGTCGGCTATAGGAGGAGCTTGCAGAGTTTGAAGAAACTTTTACTTCCTCTCAGGATAAGGAAGTAGAATCAGGTTTGAAATTTATTGTTACATGGGAGTCAAATAATTTGAATCTACAAAGATTTAAAAGAGTGAACTTAAATATGCAAATAACTTCAGCTACAATCGCTAAAGGAGGGGTTGAGTATAAGAGGCAGGGGAAGGTAGATTTACTGGGAGCAGTTGCTGCTTAATCTGCATCGCACATTAAAAGTTATTAAACATCTTGATTTATTCCTTCAGCTGCACAGTCTGCAGTGCTCAGTAAGACCATTTCATTGGTAATGAAGAACCAGAAGCCAACACATAAGGTAGGAGCTTTTTCACATCAGCATCTCCATCCTGATCCACGTACAATATCTGGCCTGACGTTTCCTCCCCCCAACACACCCCCCCCCCCCCGCAATAGCTGCCCTGACACCCCTGCACACGTGTTCATCCTCGTTTCATCAACTGGGAGCCCAAGGCTAATGAACATGATTCAGCTTCTTGCAGCCCTTTCATGATTATGTACTTCTCCAATTAAAATGAGATCAAAGTAATCAAACCAATGTACTGGTGTGGAAAAGGCCAGTCAGCCCCTCATGCCCATTCCATAATTCAGTAAAATTGTGGTTGATCAGGTCTCAATTCCCATCCTGGCCTCATATCCTTTGATTCTCTTCCAGAGTCCAACTGTCTATTGGTCTCGGCCTTGAATATATTCATCTACAATTGCACAGACACAATTCTGTGGGAGAGAATTCTCAGTAAAACAAAATTCCTCCACTGTCCAACATGGTGAGCCCCTTCTCCTGAGACAATGAGGCTGTGTTATACACCCTCCAGCTGGGATAAAACAGACCTTCAGTGTCTGTCCTGTCATAGTCTCTCATGGTTTTTATAGATTTCAATCACAAAACTTGCTGAGGTTTCTAAACTCCAGTGAGCATTAACTCATTCATCTCTGTCTCTGCTCATGGGAGATCCCCTCTCATCCTTCAGTCAGTCAAGTGGTTCCTCCTTTTGGTCAGGAGACCAGACCTGCCTCCTCACTGGTGGATAGTTGCTACCTTCACCAACCACAGTTCATGTGTTCGCATAGACCCACAATGCCCTGAGGGAGGGATTTCCAGGATTTTGACCCAGCAACACACAGCTGTGGATGGTATCACATCTGCAGAAAGGGAGGTCATGGAAGAGGGTTTGTCCACTGAGTCAGTATGGGTGGAAGTCAGAAACAGGAAAGGAGCAGTCACTTTATTGGGAGTTTTCTATAGCCCCCCGAGTAGCAACAGAGGCACTGAGGAACAGATTGGGAGACAGATTTTGGAAAGGTGCAGAAGTAATAGGGTTGTTTTCATGGATGACTTCAACTTCCCTGATATAGACTAGAACCTCCTAAGTGCAAATAGTTTGGATGGAGCAGATTTTGTCAGGTGTGTCCAGGAAGGATTTCTGACTCAGTATGTAGATAGGCCGACTAGAGGGGAGGCCATATTGGATTTGGTGCTTGGCAACGAACCAGGTCAGGTGTCAGATCTCTCGGTGGGAGAGCATTTCGGTGATAGTGATCACAACTCCCTGACTTTTACTACAGTCATGGAGAGGGATAGGAGCAGACGGTATGGGACAGTATTTACTTGGGGGAGGGGGAATTACAATGCTATTAGACAAGAACTATGGAGCACCAGTTGGAATCCGATGTTCTCGGGGAAATGCATGATAGAAATGTGGAGGTTGTTTAGGGAGCAGTTGCTACAGGTACTGGACAGGTTTGTCCCACTGAGGCAAGGAAGGGATGGTAAGGTGAAGGAACCTTGGATGACAAGACATGTTGAACACCTAGTCAAGAGGAAGAAGGAAGCTTACTTAAGGTTGAGGAAGCAGGGATCGGACAGGGCTCTAGAGGTCTAAAAGGTAGCCAGGAAGAAACTGAAGAATGGACTTAGGAGAGCTAGAAGTGGGTATGAGAAAATCTTGGCGGGTAGGATCAAGGAAAACCCCAAGGTATTCCAAGAGGATGGCCAGAGTGAGGGCAGAGCTGATGAGGGACAGTGTAGGGAACTTATGCACAGAGTCGGAGGAGGTAGGGGAGGTCCTTAATGAATACTTTGCTTCAGTATTCACCAGTGAGAGGGACCTTGACATTTGTGAGGACAGCATGAAACAAGCTGATATGCTCGAACAGGTTGATGTTAGGAAGGAGGATGTGCTAGAAATTCTGAAAAACATGAGGATAGACGAGCTCCCTGGGCCAGACAGGATATACCCAAGATTCCTTCTTTCAAGAAAGGGAATAGGGATAATCCTGGGAATTACAGACCAGTCAGTCTTTCTTCTGTGGTGGGCAAATTATTGGAGAGGATTCTGAGAGATAGTATTTATGATTATTTGGAAAAGCACAGTTTGATTAGAAATAGTCAGCATGGCTTTGTGAGGGGCAGGTCATGCCTCACAAACCTTATTGAATTCTTTGAGGATGTGACAAAACACAACGATGAAGACAGAACAGTGGATGTGGTGTATATGGATTTTAGCAAGGTATTTGATAACGTTCCCCACGGTAGGCTCATTCAGAAAGTAAGGAGGCATGGGATTCGGGGAAATTTGGCTGTCTGGATACAAAACTGGCTGTCCAATAGAAGACAGAGGATGGTAGTAGATGGAAAGTATTCAGCCTGGAGCTTGGTGACCAGTGGTGTTCCACAGGGATCTGTTCTGGGGCCTCTGCTCTTTGTGATCTTTATAAATGACTTGGATGGGGAAGTGGAAGGGTGGGTTAATAAGTTTGCCGATGACACGAAGATTGGTGGACAGCGTGGAGGGCTGTTGTAGGCTGCAACAGTACATTGACTGGATGCAGAGCTGGGCAAAGAAGTGGCAGATGGAATTCAACCCAGAAAAGTGTGAAGTGATTCATTTTGGAAGGTCGAATTTGAATACAGAATACAGGGTTAATGGCAGGATTCTCGGCAGTGTGGAGGAACAGAGGGATCTTGGGGTCCGCGTCCAAACGTCCGTCAAAGTTGCAACCCAAGTTGATAGGGTTGTAAAGAAGGCATATGGTGTGTTGGCTTTCATTGGCAGGGGAATTGAGTTTAAGAGCCGTGAGGTTATGCTGCAGCTCTATAAAACTCGGGTTAGACCACACTTGGAATATTGTGTTCAGTTCTGGTCACCTCATTATAGGAAAGATGTGGAAGCTTTAGAGAGGGTGCAAAGGAGATTTACCAGGATGCTGCCTGGACTGGAGGGCAGGTTTTATGAGGAAAGGTTGAGGGAGCTAGGGGTCTTTTCATTGGAGCGAAGAAGGATGAGAGGTGACTTGATAGAAGTGTACAAAATGATGAGAGGCATAGATAGCGTGAATACCCAGAGACTTCTTCCCAGGGCGGAAATGACTATTATGAGGGGCATAAGTTTAAGGTGATTGGAGGAAGGTATAGGGGAGATGTCAGAGTTAGGTTCTTTATACAGAGTGTGGTGGGCATGTGGAATGCGCTGCCGGCAGTGGTAGTGGAGTCAGATACTTTAGAGACTTTTAAGTGACTCTTGGATAGGCACATGGAGGATAGTAAAATGTAGGGTAGATTGATCTTAGTAGGGTAATAGGTCTGCACAACATCATTGGCTGAAGGGCCTGTACAGTTCTGTAGTGTTCTATGTTAACAGAGAAGGAACAGCGATATATTTCCAAGTCAGGATGGGGAGTGGTTTGGAGGCAAACTTGCAGGGGGTGGTGTTCCCATGTATCTGCTGGTCTTGCCCTTCCAAATGGAAAATGTCATGAGTTTGGAACTTTTGAAACGCATCCACAGTGCGGCGCTTCCTCGGCACTGACCCTCTGGTGTGGCGCAGCACTCCCTAAGTGCTCTCGCGATAATGGATGCCTTGAAAAGGATTTTTAAGAACACTGTTTACAGTGGTGTGATGTCATAGACACAGACAGTCTGTGCTTTCTGATGCTATTGTATGTTCCATACACAGTGACTGAGTGTGAGGCTGGTACTTTTTATACTGGAGTGTCACAGGTCAGGACACCAGGAAGCTGTCTTAGAGATACAGATCTGTCTGCTCTGGAATCCCTGCTGTGATTTAACATTGTCTGTCCTCTCACACAAAAGATCCCATGACACACATGACTCCAGATGTGGTTGAATTTTAACTGCTCTCTGCACTACTAGGAATGGGTAATAATGCTGACCTACCCAGCCATGCCCATATCCTGGGGATAAAGGAGGTTCTTACCAATGGCCTGTGACTGTCCTTTAACGATCATCATGACATCGTGACTTGTGGCAGCATTTCCTAGATTACATCAGTGACTACATTTTCAGGAAACTTTATATTTGGGTGTAAAGGGTTTTGGGACCCTGGGTTTGAATCATTTTGCGGTTCACCATAACAAGGTTGTTTGCTGAATTGTGTTTGTTTTCAGTACGATGGCTACACGTCCTGCCCACTGGTTACTGGTTACAATCGCTGCGTGTTAGCCGAGTTTGATTATGAAGCACAGCCATTGGAGACCTTCCCTTTTGACCAGGGCAAGGAGAGGAGGAGCATGTTCCACATGAAAGCAGATCTCATGCCCCCTCTTTATTGGTATGCGCTCCTCAAGTAAGTCCAATCTTTTAATTATTTTTCTTTCTTATTTTCCCTGCTTTTTATAAGATAAACAATGTATAATAACACATTAATGATGAATGTCGATACTCTGCCTGGAGATATTTATTGGAGATGGACATGAACCTTTGTGGTGAGTTATGGCCAAACAAAATGGGCAATTGTCACAAGCACTAATTATTCTCGGGATGAGAAACTCTGATCCTGAGGATAATCAATGTTTGTGACAATTGGGGCCGGCACAGTGAGGATGGTCTGCCTGCTGTGCGCATCCTCCATTACTACTTACAATGTCATTAGTTATTGGGAATGGTCTGGTTTTAGTGATTCAGGGAGACGCTTACCAGGTGATCTTTTTAACTGCTTCTAATCAGAGAATGTACAGAGAGGATAAACACTGACCTCAATCAGTTGAGCCAACGGATGTGATTCCTCAACAGGAAATCTGGAATGTCCAGGAGAAGGGGCTCTGTTTATTTTGAATGGCAGTCAGTGAATGACACTGATTCTGTAGAAACATAGAAAACAGGAGCAGGAGCAGGCCATTTGGCCCTTCGAGCCTACTCTGCCATTCAGTAATGACCGTGATTGTTCCTGCTTTCTCCCATACCCTTAGATCCCTTAATCCCTGAGAACTACATCTAACTCCATCTTGGAAACATTCAATGGTTTGGCCTCAACTGCTTTCTGCAAATTCTACTGGCTAACCACTCTATGGATGAAGAAATTTCTTGTCATCTCAGTCCTAAACAGCCTACCCTGTGTCATTAGACTGTGATCCCTGGTTCTGGACCCCGTGGGCATTGGAAACATCTATGCTGTGTTTACTGTGTCTAGTCCTGTTAGAATTTTATATGTCCCTATAGGATTGCCTCCTGCCAGTTCCATGAATATAATCTGAACTGATCCAGTCTCTCTCCATTCATCAGTCCTGCCATCCCCAGATAAACCTTGCATTACAGGGAGTGTTAGCCACTACAAGCTACAGTGTTAATGAGTGAGTGATAGTTTCTGGAAAATGTGTGATGCTGAATAAGATTGGTGTCTCCACTAACTGGTCAAGTCAGGGACTTGTCAACTCAGGTTTGTGCAACATGATCAGCACATATTACTCTACTCCAGGTCCCAGTTTTAACCCTCTCCCACTAACATGGCTGAGATGATCTTCTCAATCTGCTAAATTCCCATGTATACAAGCGCAATGCACTCAATTCCTCTTCATCAGACATTCCTCCAAAACTGGGATCAGCCAAGTGAACCTTTTCTGGACTGCTCCAATGCCACTGTATCTTTCCACACCCTGTTCGTACTGTTCCAGCTGCAGTCTCACTAGTGCCTTCTGTAGTTTTAGCAAGGCCTCCCTACGTTTACACTCCATTCTCTTTGAAATAAAGCCCAAGGGGTGGGTGTGGGTTTGGGTTTAGGTTGTGGTGGTTAGGGAGGGGGTATGGACTTTCTTGGACTTGGGAGAATACTCCTCCTGGTCCATATGAACAGTGTAAAAATTGAACGTGCCTTTGGTTGGGATTACTGACAAACCCCAAAGTCATTTGGGCAGTCGGTTTGACATAAATTTCCATGCAGAAGAGTTCATTGTTATGAAGCAGTATTGTACACAATCGGGAATAATTAGCCTTCCCCACCAAGGAAGAAACTTGCTTTTAGGAATTAGTTGAAACAACTTCAACGATGAAGTTCAATGCAGATAATTGTGAGATGATTTATTTCAGTCGGAGGGAATGTGGAGAGACAGTTACAAACTAAAGGATGCAACTCTAAAGGGGTTGAAGAAGCAGAGGGATTTGAAGATTTATGTGCACAGGTCAGGATAGGTTGAGAGCATGGTTAATAAAACATGCAGAACCCTATAGTCTATGCGTAGGGGCATAGAACACTGGAGCTCACTAGAGTATTGTGTCCGGTTCCAGGCACCACACTTTAGGGAACATGAGTGGAGCAGAAGAGGTTTAGGACAATGGTTTCAGGGATGAGGAACTTCCACTACTGAAGATAAATTGAAGAAACTGGAACTGTTCTCCTTGAAGAGAAGGCCGAGTGGAAATCTGAGTGAAGTATTTAAAATTGTATGTTCTGGACAAAATCCGAAAGGAGAAATTGTTCCCACTTCTGGAAGGATCAAGAACAAGTGGGCAAATATTTAAAACAAAAGCAATAAAAGTGATCTAAGGAAACATTTTCAACAGAGTGGTTAGGATCTGGAATGCACTGTATGGTGAAAGCAGGTCCAATCGAGGCATTCAAAAGGGAATTAGATGATTAATTGAAAAGGAACTATGTGCAGGATTTCCAGGAGAAGGCAGGTGAATGGTATTTAAAGTGAGATGCTCACTTGGAAAGCTGGCACAAACACAATGTGCTGAATGCACTCCTGTGTAGCTGACCAGTTTGTGACATTGATTCCTGCATTAGATGTGTTCAAGATTTATGAAGAACAAATTAGGAATAAAACTAACGTCTAATTCTAAATCAAAACTCACCTGTTTAATGTAACATCTGGATTTAGTTAGCATAAACAGGGCTAGGTGTGTAGCATTAACAATCCCTGAGTGTTGACTACATTCTCCAATTTTTTTCTGTTTTTCAAGGGGACTTTGGGGAGGTCCGAAACCTCTGAGAACATTGATGCACCTTGGTATGAAGTAAAGGATGTTCTTCAATTGTAATCTCTGTTCAGCAACCACGAACATCTCTCTCATGCACTGGTCCTCTCTGAACTGAACTGCAAAACTATACGGGTATTCTGGCATTATCCTGTGAATTCAAAATGAAATTACTGAATAGTTATCCAAAATAATAAAATTCCTTCAACTTGCTGGAGCTAGATGCTAGAAATAGTTTTGTAATTGTGCATCTCATCAATAAGGTTTGTTCCATTTTCTTCAGCATTGACTGTAGTTCATGTTCTAAGCTCAGAATTAGATCCAGTGTTTGCCACTTAATGAGCAAACACTCCTATCATTAACAAAACCGTCACTTATTCTTCCAAAAGTGTTCCTAATTTTCATTTTAAAAGCAGATCAACGTACAAACACTGCTTGCTGTTTCAGATCATTGGCCTGAAAGCTTCTGCTGAAAATTTAAACTCTAATATTAAAGCTGCAAAATTCAGAAGGAGAACAGTCAAGAAACTACGATTGTTCAGAACTTTGACTATAATAAACAATAAAGTTGCATTTCTACCATTTACCTGAAATGACTGGTTAATTTCATCGTAATGTTTGAGAGACAGCCAGACACGATGGTTCAGTGGTTAGCACTATCTCACAGCGCCAGGGACCCGGGTTTGATTCCACTCTTGGGTGACTGTCTGGAGTTTGCACATTCTCCCCATGTCTGTGTGGGTTTCTGCCGGATGCTCCGGTTTCCTCCCACAGTCCAAAGATGTGTGGGTTAGGTGCGTTAGCCATGGGAAATGCAGGGTTACAGGGATAGCGTAGGGTGGGATGCTGTTCAGAGGGTTGGTGTGGACTTGTTGGGCTGAATGGCCTGTTTCCACACTGTAGGGGTTCTATTCAAATATTCACTGAATAGCAGTTGTGGATGTTTAAGCAGACAGCTATTTCATTATGGGTTCAAATCCAAAGCAAGTTACAACATGTGATGTAGTGAGAAATTTTATGATGTGATGATTGAACTAACACCGTATTAGGAACATTTCTAGTGTACAAATGTCAATTTGTAGGGGACACAGGTTTAAGGTAAAAGGGGGTAGGTTTAAAGGACATGTCAGAGGCAAGTCTTTTTACACAGAGGGTGATATGTGCCTGGAAAACACTGCCAGAGGAGGTGGTGGAGGAAGTGGAGACAATAGCAACATTTAAGAGACGTCTCAACAGATATGAAAAGGCAGAGAAGGGATACAGACCATGTAGAGGCAAAAGGTTTTTAGTTGAGAAAGGCATCATGAATCAGTGCAGTCTTAGTGGGTGGAAGGGTCTGTTCATGTGCTGTGCTGTTCTTTGTGTTAATTAAAACTCTTTTCAGATGTTTGTGCAGTTGTAACTAGTTATGCAGAGCTTGTTTTTGAGATCAGTGAGTTAAGTATCTATATCTTGATTGTAAAACAATGTCAGTGCTTTTTTGTTTGAAACCACCTCCCTCTGCAGCATTTGAGTCTGTACAACAATTCCCAGCTAGCCCCAGCACAAGTGTTGAAAGGAATTTAATTAGTATTTGGTTTCTTTGAAGCCACAAGTTTGGAATATACTGAGAATTATAGGTCCTTTTAAATAAACATGATGGTCATTGAACAGTATGATCACCACTAGCACATGATGAATTTTAAAACCTTTAATAGGGTTGAAGTGCTGGGGAGCATTCTGACCAGCTTCATCCTGGTGACTTTCATTAACTGTAGAGTAAGGGACAGGTCACAATTAAAACAAGCCACCGTTTATTCATGGGAGTGTGGTAAAAATAAGCAAATGTCACATGTTTGAAGCAGGAGAATTATTTGAGATGAAAGGCACCAGTTTTTAATCAGTAGGTCATTAAAGATACTGATTAAGAATAAAAAAAAGTCCATGTTGTGTTGAACTGATGGTTTCTGTGAAAGAGCAGGACGGGCACAATACAGCCTCTTCTCTCGTGAGATTATCAAACAGTGAATCATCATTCTCCTCCAACATTTCAGCAATTGATCTTTGAAATGACCTGACTACAATTAGCTGCTCACCCACATGTTTACTCTCCAGCTGGGAATCCCCTTGTTCACCTGACTGGAAATGTCAGGAACTGAATCTTTAGTGTGGGTCAGCTGCCACCTGCTGTAACTGTGAATAATTCATAACATTCTTATGTTATAGTTTATTGGGTGTAGGCAGAAATGTGGATTTGAGATTACAATCAAATCAGCCGTGGATTTATTGAATGGCAGAGCAGGCTGAATGGCCTACCCCTGTTTCTTGTTTGTAGGCTCGGAAGGTAGTGGCTTGGGGATGGACAGCAAGTGAAAGAATTAAAATAGCTCGTTATGAGAAGTTCATAGGATATGCTCATTTATAAATCAAGCATTAATGAGAAGATTTTCGCAGGCACAACAATTCTGTCTAAATACTCCACAGGATTTCCTGATGTAATTTTGCTTGAAGATGAATGGAGACTCCCTGCAAAAATCCTGTCTCTGGATTGTAAATCTGGGAAGGTCACAACTGATGACAAAATACTGAGAATCCTGAGTAGGGTCTTGCATGTCCCAGCTGCAGACAGTTAATACTGACTCTACTGTTGAGCTACATTTACGAGAGCAGAGAAGGCGCTGTGCATTCACTCCAGTGAGACCAAGGGAGAACATGAAAGCACAGAGCAAGACAAGTGTCAACAATAATTGTCCACACACAAGGATTTATTGACATTTACCTGAAAAACCATCTGATGTAATTGAGTAACTGATCTCACTCATTATCATTGGGATTCCTTGAAAATTCCTTTAATTACTGAATTGTTTTTGAGGTGGGGAGTTGGTTGGGGGGGTGTGCAACAAGCAGTTCATATTCTCCATCCACTCTCCCACACAGGCACTGGCACTGAAATCTGTGAAAGGCAGCAGCTTGGGTCCCAGGCAGGCTGCACTGAGGAAGCGCAGCTTGGTATGTTTAAAAACCTCCCAAATTCCTCCTCCGAGGTAAAGAGTCCAATTGAATGAACCCAAGAGAAGAGCGAACCCTCCTACATGAGTCACAAAAAGTCTAGTATCCATGCTCAGTGGGTAATGTAGAGGTCAAATGGAATGTTGTTCTCTAAAGAGAATGGAGTATAAACATAGGGAGGTTTTGCTGAAACTATACAAGCACTATTCAGATCCCTTGATTGAAGGTAAGATATACTGGCACTGGAGGCAGTTCACTGGGTTGATCCCAGGTGTGGAGGGAACTGTCTCATGAGGAGAGGTTGTGTAGGTCTGGGCCTATAATCACTGGATTTTCAAAGAGTGAGGGGTGACCTTGATGGAATGTGCAAGATTGTTAAGAGGAGTTAACAGGGCACATGTGGAGAGGTTGACTGGTTGTGGGAGAGTCTAGGATCAGAGCGCATCATCTCGGAGTGAGATTTCACACATTAAAGACGGAGGTGAGGAGCGATTTCTTCTATCAGAGGGGAATAAATCTGTACTTTTTTTTTTAACCACAGAGGGCTGTCAAGGCTGACATCAAGAAGGAAATCAAGGTTATGGGGGAAATAAACAGGAAAGTGGAGTTGAGGATTATCGGATTGGTGGCTCAATGGTCAGCACTGCTGCCTCACAGCACCAGGGACCCGGGTTCGATTCCAGCCTCGGGTGACTGTCTGTGTGGAGTTTGCACGTTCTCCCTGAGTCTGTGTGGGTTTCCTCTAGGTGCTCTGGTTTCTTCCTGTAATCCAATGAGGTGCAGGTCAGGTGGATTAGTTGTGCTAAATTGCCCCTAATGTCCAGGGATGTGCAGACTAGGTGGATTAGCTGTAGGAAATGTGGGGTTACGTGGATAGGGTAGGATGCTCTTCAGAGGGTTCAGTGGACACGATTAATCAAATAGCCTGCTTCTACATTCTCATTGAATGGCAGTGCAGACTTGATGGGCTGAATTGCCTACTGCTCCTATGTCGTAAGGTTTTGTGAATGAGTGAGTTTGTACCAGGGGTTTGTGAGTGTGAGAGTAAGAACCAGAAGAATGTGAGAGAACTGGACACAGACACACCACACCCTCACTCTCTGTCATACCCTACTCGCCAAAAACTGAACCACAAAGCAAACTTGGAGATGAGGAAAGGTGACTGGCTTCCAAATCCCACTTCCATATGAATTCTGCTGAGGCCAGCTGGAAGTGTGTCCCACTCGAGGAGAATGGCAGATCAGTGTTAGTTAAACCCAACTGTGTCATTTTATCTACGTCTCTACACCCTGTCCTGGTGCTCAGGACCTGGGGCCTTGTCTGTCTGTGTGTCTCTATCTCTCTCTCTTTATCTGCTTCATTAATAAAAGGCAAAAAAAAAGGTTTTATTGGTTAGATCAGCTACATGACACTTTTTAATGGTCATTTAATAACTTTGAGGGAAGCTGCAATGACGGTGATTTGTAAGAACCAGAAGTAGGCCATTCAGCCCGCTCCACTGCTCAACAAGATCACGGCTGATCTTTTCGTGGCCTCAGTTCCACTTACCCAACTTCTCACCATAACCCTCAATTCCTTTATTATTCAAAAGATTATCTATCTTAACTTTAAAAACATTCAAAGAGGAAGCCTCAACTACTTCACTGGGTAGGGAATTCCACAGATTCACAACCCTTTGGGTGAAGAAGTTCCTCCTCAATTCAGTCCCAAACCTGCTTCCCCCTAATTTTGAGGCTATTCCCTCTTGTTCTAGTTTCACCTGCCAGGGGAACAAACTCCCTGCTCTGTCTTATCGATTCCCTTCATAATCTTATATGTTTCTGCAAGATCCCCCTCTGCCCCTTATTCTTCTAAATTCCAATGAATATATTCCCAGTCTACTCAGTCTCTCCTTATAAGCCAATCCTCTCAACTCTGGAACCACCCTAGTGAACCTCCTCTGCACCCCCTCCAGTGCCAGTACATCCTTTGTCAAGTAAGGAGACCAAAACTGTACACAGTACTCCAGGTGTGGCCTCACCAGCACCCTATACAGCTTCAACATAACCTCCCTGCTTTTAAACTCAATCCCTCTGTCAATGAAGGACAAAATTCCATTTACCCTCTTAATTAGCTGTTGTACCTGCAAACCAACCTTCTACAATTCATGCATAAGGACACCCAGGTCCCTCTGCATAGCAGCATGCTGCAATTTTTTACCATTCAAGTAATAGCCCCTTTTACTGTTCTACCTACCAAAATGGATGACTTCACATTTATCAACATTGAATTCCATCTGCCAGACCTTTGCCCACTCACTTAAACTATCTATATCCCTCTGCAAACTTTCAGAATCCCCTACACACTTTGCTCTACCACTCATCTTAGTGTCATCTACAAACTTTGACACGCTACATGTGGTTCCCAACTCCAAATCATCAATGTAAATTATAAATAATTGCGGTCCCAGCGCTGATCCCTGAGGCACACCACTAGCTACTGTTCACCAACCAGAAAAACACTCTTTTATCCCCACTGTTTGTTTCCTGTTAGTTAACCAACCCTTGATCCATGTAAATACATTTCCTGTAACACCGTGCACCTTTATCTTATGCAGCA